TTTGATCCAACACTTGGATTTCACCATAAGACTCATCTCACCTCACCCTGATAATCAGTAGGACAATGGATTGTACTATCCTCCCCCAGTCCAAGTTCCAAATCACATCTCAGTGGCATCTTCATTATCAAAGTTATTCATCCTGGGATTTAAGTCATTGTCATGTAGTTTGATATCACAACAAATATTTCAGAGTTGGAAAATTGTGTTTAAAACCACTGCTACAGGGAATATCAAGAAGTTAACTAAAAGAATTCCACTCCAAACATAATCTATTTTATTTTTGTGTATACTTTCTGCATCTCTCCATAGAATATAAACTCCTTGAGGGCAGGGATTTATTTGTTTTTGTCTATTATTCCCAACATCTAACAGTGCCTGGCACATAATTTGAACTTCAAAAGTGCTTGTTTAGTTGAAGTATACAGCAAGACCCCATTAATTTGGACAAAGGTTGAATTAGTGAGAAATCTTCATTTCTAAGTTGTTTGGGTTGGTTTGCTTTTTTGGTTTTGAGTTTTTTAGAAAGTGCAGTTTTTTTGTTGTTGTTGTTGTTTTGTTTCACTTTAAAGAACTTAGGGCAACTGCACCAGGGCCAAGAAAATAGCAGCCTAATAGAATGCCTAAAGCTAAATACTGATTGGATTAGTGATTAGAGATTAGTCTGTCAATTGTTCATAAATAAATAGAGGTTTTTAAGTTGCTTAATAGTTCTCAAATAGTTTTAAAAAACTCTCCCTTACAATTTTGTTCATACTATCAATTTGCCTGACAATTCTTTTTTGTCCTCCACAGACAGGTATGGCAAAGGTACGCTTCAGTCCAGCCCCTATAAGAATGATCATAAATTCAGATTTCTTTTTAGTCTGAATTGCTGAGGTTTTATTACATTAGAAATCGAAGGGAGTGCATTTCTTTTTGAATGGAACCTCTCTTCCAATTGCCCTCATCAGGGATGTCAGCTGAGAGAAATCAAACTAACCACCCTGTCAAAGAAGCACATATAGTAACCACGTTCACACTGATAGCGGGCAGATGAGGGGTTTTTTGACTGAATACACATTCATGCTTTCGAAAATGTTTTAATATGCTAAAGACATGCAAACCATAGTCTAGGGCACTCTAAATGTGTTTTTGAGGAAAGGAAGGTTTTGAAATGGATGGTGTATTCTTGATTTGCTATGTACATACCTCATCTACTCAGTAATAATTAAATATCTTAACGCATTTTATTTCTCCATTTAACCTCTGTGACTAACTTCTGTTTCACTTCCTGGTTCATCTCTGTGGAAACCTCACTGCTAGCACAAAAGCATGCATCTGAATTCTATACCCTATCTCTGTACATTAAAGAGAATTTGCTTATAGCACGTCTCAAATTCAAAGGCTGAATCTATTTGACATATTTCCAGACTGTCCTGTGGGCTGTGTGTCATACAATATTCTAACACATGTAACATCCCTTGTACACAAAAGCCCCCAAAAAATGGGGTGAGGGGAAGAAGGTGATTTAAAGGAGAATATGCCACATATATTGTGGTCAGTAGTGTCAATGTGAGGTCAATTATTTTTAATTTCACTTTTCCTTCAAAACCTTGGGTTTTTCTCCTGTCCAAAGTAAAATTTCTAAAACAAAGAATTCTTATGATTATTAGTAAGTCAGATTTCTAGTTTTATGATATCTTTAATATTCCCTATCACTCCCTATGGACAACATAGTTAGGGAGAAATTGGAGGGAGGATATTTAGAACTAAGTAATACCACTTTAAATTTCAATAATAAATGTAATGTACAGACAAGTAAATTGTGGCTACACAATTCTGACCACATGCAAATGAAATGAACAGAGGCCTGCCAATCATTAATCTAAGATCTTTAGTATTTTCACTCAAGTCTATAGGTCTACAACTAGAAAAAATTTTTTAAAAAACCTATGGATAGGGAAGAAAGAATTTTTTTTTTTAATGGCAAATACACCCTACACACAAAGAGCTTTATTTTGGTTAGTAACACCACTATCAATTCTTAGCGTCTCTACTATAGGTATGAGGTACACTAGTATATTTTTCAGCCAATTTAGAAGGGTTGTAAGCTATTAAATATATATGCACATATTATATAGCTATATGTTAGTTATGGCTATGGCTATATGTAAACTACCAATAAGGCTGGATTTATGCTGAGAGAATTTTCACTACCACTTTAAAATACTTTGTCTTATCAAAGAATCTTAAGGTAATTTGTCACAGCTAGATAAGCAGAGGAGAAAAAGGCAATATATTACAAATGCATGTGTGTGTGTGTGTGTGTGTCTCTGTGTGTGTGTGTGTATGTGTGTGTATTCTGTTCAGTATTAGGAGGGGAAAAAAGTCTTCTCAACAGCTAGAGTTTTCCAAAAATATGATGGGCCACCTTGGTAGACAGAGAGGTCCCCATCAACGGAGGTCTTTAAGGAAAGGATAGATGACCACTCTTTGGCAATAATGTAGAGATGATTTCTGCATGGGTATGGGTTGGACTACACGACTTCTGAGGTCCTTTCCAACCCTCTGACATTCTTTTGTTCTCAGGAGTTTTTAACCTGGGGTCTACCAACTATTTCTAGGAGGAGGTGAGGGGATAACTATTTCATTATTGTTGGTTTCCTTTGCAATCTATGAATTTTATTTTATGGATTTAAAAATATGACTCTGAGAAGGGGTACATAGGCTTCACTAGACTACCAAAGGGGTCCATGACACAAAAACAGGTAAGAACATCTTTCCTAAGGAAATTACTTGCCTTGAGTTAGTGGAAGAATGTACCCTCATTTCTAGTTCTATGCTTTATCTCCTGTCTAATTAAGAACTGCTTTCCAATAACCCTCTGCTGCTGCTACCTTTGTCAGGCCTATTAATCATGCAAAGGCCTAGATCTAGCCATCTGAAAAATAAAACCTCTGAGTGAATGATAAGAAAAATAGAGAAACTTTAGTGAAAGCATAGAGTGTTGGACTTGGTACTAGAAAGACCTGAGTTCAAGATCAGCCTCAGTCATATTTACTAGCTGTGTGACCTCAGACAAATCACTTAAGCTCAGGCTGCCTCAGTTTGCTCTTCTGTAAAATGGGTTGTTGTGAGAATAAAATGAGATGACATTTATAAACGGTTTTGCAAACCTTAAAGCGTAATATAAATGCTAGCTATTGTTGTTGTTGCTATCTATCTTACCTGCGTTGTATAAGAAATCCAAATCTGGCAAACTATCCTGAAAAGAAGAGAATCCCAGAGCAGCATCTGTATTCAGCAAACTTCAGTTGATTAAACACCCAGGGTGTTTATTAGCTCTATGAGGTCCAGCTAGAAAAGGCCTTTGGTGAACTTTGACATTTTACAATTATTAATCATGCAGCCCCCATCACCAAAAGACCTAGGAAAGGTTTAGTTGCTAAGATTTTAATGCTTGAGGAATTTAGGGACATGAGATCAGAGGCCCATGAAATTAACAGAAATCTGAGAAGCAATTGAACAAATGCAGGCACAAATCACAGTTAAAGACTGTGAATAAGAGAATGTTTCTGGGTACTATTAGTTTGTTTTGGGTGAAAAGTTCACAAATCCATGCACTGCTAATTGTTTTCTATAAAATGAATTGCCTAAATTCAACACTACAAGGTGACAATATACTAATGAACAGTTTCAAAAAACCCCTACAGTTTCTATGTGTAATTTTTAAAATATTATAATTATTAGTGCAAACTAATTATTTTAATGGCATAGGGAGCTCCTGCTGATGCAGCTAGGATTCTCATCTGTAATTTTATTGTTTAAGGGTGGAGGGGGAGGTTACAGGGTTAAATGATTCACCATCATCACAGAGCTAATATGTGTCAGGGGTGGTACACGACCCTAGGTCTTCCTAATGTTAAGACTGGCCTTCTCTCCTCTGTACAATGCTACCTCTCTGCTATTCCTAAGGAACCAAAAAAAAAAAAAAAAGAATCATGAAATGTGAACCAGTTTTAATGCCAAAGTATAATCTCATACTATACCCCTTTTCAGTTCCTTTTCTGACTAAAACAACAAAGAATCCATCAAATTTTATTTAAGGGATCTCCTTAAAACCAATGATCTCCCCAAATGGCATACCCTACGGATGATGTTTAATGAATGCTATCCTTCTCAACCACCATGACAGTATGGAGGAAGTGGCTAGGCATCACTGCCAGGTTATTCTTCATATTTAAAGGCTCTCAAAGACTAGGTGCACCGTTTATGAGGGATTCTGTGATGGATGGGAAGAAAGTTGCACTTGGTTGGTTTAAGCAGCAATAGAAATGGTGCAGTGATGCCTATGAATTGAGAAGACAGAACTTGAAGAATTGACCTGAACCTGGAGTTATAACCGCTGTTCTAGTACTCCCCAATTCATCACCCTCAGGATCCACAAGATCAATCAGAACTAGAAATACAAGACTCAACAGCCTGTGACATCCTTAAGTGGCAACTCTCCATTAAATTGGTCTTCGATTGAGGATTTATATGACAGGGGTCATGGAAATCTTGGGGTTAGATGATCTTTCCTTATAAAGTTAGCTATAATATTTCAGATGTGGGAAGCATTAATACATACATAGGACCTCTCATAAAAGAGGTAGCATTCCCATCAGTTACACCCTGTGTACCATGAATAGCAGGATAATGAATATGAAACTGCAAAACATATACATGGTTGGGGGTGGGGTGGAGTAAGGTTTAAGATCATGGAGCTAATGATGATGTGACTTCTTTCTTTGACATAAAATAATAAGGAAAAGAGAACATAGAATGGGGGTGTACATAGCAATAGAGCCAAGGTCAGTTAGAAGCAGAGAGAAGGCTAAAGAAGCCACACTCAAGAGAGTTTTGAATGAGACCACCTCAAATCATTTCTGAACCTAAACAACTCTCTCCAAAACTGGGGACCTCTGAATAGTCCATGTAAATGCAGTAATCATTTTTACATAAATGAGTAATCCTTGCAGTGGATAGATCACATTTATTTAACAGTCAAAGAATACACTGCAAACCAATGTGCAAAATGAATGCTATGTATAATAAAGAGGCCATCATTCCATCTACTGCTCCCTCTTTCCATACAAGATATCCAATATGCTTAGCCACATCTAAGTTCTCGATCCAATCATCCCAGAACAACTTTCTTAAAATACTGAACAATGGAAAGCTGACTGAGTAAATATTCCACTCTCTTCTTCTCCAACATTGGGAAGGTCTTGAATGAAAGAAAGGCAGGCATGCAGTATTTGCACAGAGGGATTACCTGCCCATGGGACATGTCCTCTTTTGACAGACACTAAATTGGCTAACTGCTAGAACAAATGAAAGGAATCTACATTTTGTAAAACGTTGACCCTTTTTTCACCCCAGTGAATGGTATTTTGTTCTTGCCCACAAGATGATAGCCAAAGGCCGTTGAACTCATCTTACTCTGAGTCCTGATAAGTGATAGAAGTCAAATTCAGGTCATGAGGACCATATATTTGTATTTCATGGATGATCTCTATAGCATGTAAACTTAACTGATCCACTTAATGCAGAGAAAAGCGCCTGGGTTAATGAACTGTACAATGTGAGCTTACTAGTGCATCCTCTAGATAACAGGTTAAATGGCTTTAAGAAACCGTGCAAACACGGAGATCTGACCTATCTCTACTGGGAATCCAAACAACAATGCCTTCCCGAATATGAACAAAATGCTACTAACATCTCTAGATCCCATATTCTAAATGTTAATGTCCAAATACCCTCTTCTGTCATGTCATCATATGTATATATTTGGTTTGCCAAATGTTCATCACATAATTGCCTTCTAATAAAACTAGATAAAAAATAAACTTCCCATCATTTCATTGGATTTCCTAATTTTGATCTAATGGATAGGATGTAGCTGGAGAACAATGGTCAATTTCAACAACTATTGCTCCAAACAGTCATATATTTGGTTCTGTTTGGGGGCATTTGGGATGCTTCTGCTTAATTTTTAAATGGAAATTGAAAAAGGTGGCATTTTAAAATCTTTAAAAACACATACATACATACATACACGCACACACACACATACTTCTTCCTCATACCAAAAGTCAAAAAGATCGAATCTTTAACTAAAACAATTTGTGAACTTTTCTGACCCTGACATATTCTGTGAAGAAGCCTGGCTGAAAAGTAGTATTGAAATGCAAACTATGACCTATACCTTACTTAAGGGAAAGAAGTAGAGATGGTCCCCCTCACTCCTGCACAGTATGTGCGCTCACTGGAAGAGAAGATGCTGTACCCTCACTCCCCAAGCCTTGGGTTAGGGAAACCAAAGGCGACGCACAAAGCTCTGTGTTCCTATGGGTGGTTGTTGGGACCACCAAATCAATCCACTGAGGTCACAGCATTCTCACAGTTGAAACTGGTCCTAAACTATGGGTCTCAAAATTAGCTTTTCTTCCCCTGTTATCTGAGGGATCCATCAGAAAGTGATAAACAGCAAGAGGGGCACATCAATTTTCCTTGATATGGCTCTTCAGGTCTTTGCTTCTCCCTCAAGCTGTTCACATCAGGACCTGTTCTCGAGTCTCTGGCAATCGAAGGGCAATCAGGCCTCCCCCAACCAGAGAGGAGGAAGCCAGAAGGATGGGAACCACTTTGGTTATCCCTACAAAGGAAGCAAAGATGGAATTTCCCAAGATGGCCCCAAATTTGCAGATGCCGTTGAGGATACCAAAGGCTGTCGCTCTGCAGAGGAAAAAAAAAGGAACAAAGGTAAACCAGAGTAGATAGAGCTAAACATGGTGACATTAGGTATAGCAGAGCAATCTTATTACCTCTGTCACTAACTACATATGTGACCTTGGACCAATTAATCTCCTTGGGCCTCAACTTTGTTATTTGTAAAATGAGGGGTTCAGGGATCTGTGAACTTTTTAAAAATAAAGTCTTATGTACTTCATTTAATTCATTTAAAAACTTTCTGAGGAGGTTTCCATAGGCTTTACCAGACTACCAAATGGATACATCAAAAAAAACAAGATTAAGAACCCCTGGAGTAAACTATGTCCTCTGGGGTCTAACTCTAAATATATGACCCTATGATCCCCATTTATTATTCTCAGGATAAGAGATTTACAGCAGGAAAAAAACCTCTTGATTCAGAATACAAGTAAGTTGAATGGAAGAGCACTAATCTGCTGTGGGTAACTCAGAACCACTGACCAAGGGCCACTTGGTTCAGGGTATTTATCATTCCCAACTGAGTTTTTATAGGGTGTAAATATGCTAGTTAGGAAGTCTGGATAGGTTTAGGTCATTAAAAAAGAATATTAGAGAACTCTAGGGATGTGGGAAAACTGCACTAGAGTTTCACTGTTAGTTACCTACTTTGGTATTACATCTACTTTCTTTTTTGCTGTTCTTAAGTCGTTTTCAGTCAGTCACGTCTGACTCTTTTTGACCCCTTTTGGGGTTTTCTTGGCAAAGGTGCTGGAGTGGTTTGCCATTTCCTTCTCCAGTTCATTTTACAGATGAGGAAATGGAAGCAAACAGGGTTAGGTGACTTGTGTAGGGTCAAACAGTTAGTAAGCATTTGAGGCTGAATTTAAACTCAGGTTTTCCTGACTGCAGGCCCAGTGCTACATCCACTGTGCCATCGAGCTGCCCACTTTCTTTCTTAATAAAGATTAATAGCAATACTGGCCTATAGAGTACATATCCATGCCAAGGGGCTATTTCAGGTGGACAAAAAGAAATAAGAGCACCAGAAGGTGCAATGTAGGAAACAGCAGGAGACAGAGATAAATGGTCTCCCAACCTCCTCCAGCTCCTATACTGTACTGGGACAGTGCTGACCTTGTCCCTTGTGATACCTGCTTCTGCCTCAGTTCAGGGACCAAGAATCCTCCTTGACCTTTAGTTTTATTCAAATTCCTGTTCTCTGCAGAAGAGAGGACCAGGATGGTGCCCCCAACATTGTTCTCTGTTACCTTATCCTCAGAGAGCTAGCATTTATATAGGGCTTCAAGGTTTGCAAAGCAGTCCACACATTAATTTCATTTGTTCCTCACAATAATGCTGTGAGGTAGGTGCTACTATCTTCACCATTTTACAGATGAGGCAACTTAAGTCAACCGAAGTTAAGTGACTCACCCGTGGTCACATAGCTAGTAAATATCTGAGGCAGGATTTGAACTCAGGTTCAAAAAAACTCAGCTATTATGTGACCCTAGGCAGTCACTTAACCTCAAGGTTACCAAAGATTAATCTGTGAGAAGGCAGGAGCTATGACCCTTGAAGAGATCTCCCTGTCTGTTCCTCTCTCCTCTCTCCTTCCCCCTTGAATTTCTTCCCCCTATGGCTCCAGCTAAAGGGAAGTATTTGTACCTGATCACAGCTAGACAACCACCAAGCCCAGGGAACAGACACTAGAGTACCGCAGGCAGTATTCACCTTTTGTTGGTGGGATACAGCTCCACCGTAATCACATCCAGAGCATTCCACGCAGCAATGCTGGCCCCGCAGAACAGGCACTGCCAGCCAATCATGGCAGACTCACTGTTGCCAAAAAACAGGAAGAAGCAGCAGACCGCCGATATCAGCATGGAGCCACCTTGAAAGGAGCCAAGAGAGAAAAGTATGGTATCAGTTTCTTAAGTCACACTCTCAACCAACCAGTTAAATATAGATATATACTTCAAGAAGAGTTAACCCATTCCATGAGGTAATCTCCAAACCCTAGCAAAAGACCAGGAAGGAAGTACAATGTTAACTTTGTCATTGTCCAGTCATTTCGGTTGTGTCCAACTTCATGACCCCATTTGGGGCTTTCTTAGCAAAGATACCGGAGTGGTTTGCCATTTTCTTCTCCAGTTCATTTTACACATGAGGAAACTGAGGCAAACAGGGTTGAGTAACTTGCCCAGAGTCACATGGCTAGTAAGTGTCTGAGGCTGAATCTGAACTCAGGTCTTCCTGACTCCAGGCCCACTATGCCACCTAGCTGTCCAAGATCACACAGCTATTTAGTGGCAAAGATTTCAACCTGGATCACCAGGTTCTTGATCCAGTGTAATTCCCACTGTACAAAAAAGGAGGGGTGAAGCCACAAATCACCAATGACTGACAAAAGGCAGACAGCCCTGGTCTTGACTGTTCTCCATTGTATACACATTTGTTCTACCATTCTTATATGCAAACTTAACCTTCTACTTATGCTCCATTATTCCAAAACTCACCTTTGTGAATATTATAAGATTAGGCCTGGTGGTGACCACCATGACAATCTCCCCTTAAGGAAGGTTATAGCTTATAGAATCTATGCATGGAAACCATTGTTATAAGATTAGGCCTGATGGTTTTAAGATCATCCTGACTGACCGTCTTCCCTTAAGGGAGGCTGTAAACTTATAAAACATGGAAAAATACTGACAACACAGCTGTGCTGTCCAAATAAATAACATTTTCTCTACCTCTAGCTTGTTTTCTCTCCCTAATAATGAACCCCCAAAACAGTATTTTTCCCTGACCCCTGACATGCAACTCAGTCAGTTCCAGCGAGGCCATCCAAAATTGCGGTATAAGACCCTCACTCTCAGAAGGGTACTTTGGGGCACACCCTCCCCTGCTGGAGCACCCTCTTCCTGCTGAATGGAGCCATGTCTCTGTGCTTCCAAACGTAGCACTGCCCTTATGTGAATTATATTCTACGTTAGTGTGTAGGTTTGAGCTGTACATCAGGTCTTCTTTTCATCTCTCCCCTTACTCCTTGTTCTCATCCCTTGTAATAAAGCTTCACATTGAACTGACTCTCATTACTCTGTACGTTATTCCCAGCACTCAAACTCATTAAGGGATTGTTTGCCCCAGTGTCTCTGGCTGGCTAATAGGTCTTTCCTTAGACATAAACTGGGCACCCAGACAAGGATTTAATCCATTGTCAGCCACATCTACACTGGGGACGTAGAGGACTGGGAGCCGTTGTAGAAAGCAAAGGCCAATAGAGGAACTCTATGTCCTCCTGAAGGGACTCCCTTATGCTAAAGAACTGTCACAAAACAGTAGACTATAAATCAATACTCCCAATTTGCTTCTTCATGCTTTAATGTCCTCAATTTTTAAAATTGACTATCTCCCTATCTTCCAGAAGGTAGAAATGAAGTGGCTTGATTGGCCACTGATTGGCCCGAGAGCTCTGCCCTTAGTCAATTCACCCCTATTTAGGCAATCTACTCCCCACTCCCTTGGCTTATCACATTGGTGCAGTACTTAGTATGGACACCTGACTGTCAGAACTCCCAAGCGGAAATGATCCACCAGCCTCAGCCTCCCCAGTATCAGGCATTATAGTCACGTACTACCTTGTCCCTTAATGTCCCCAATTCTAGAGGAATAGTCCCACAACTTTAATCCTATACCAAAAAGCCAATGAGGAGAAGAAGCAGAATTGGACAAATGGAAAAGAAAGTCCAAAAGCTCACTGAAGACAATACTTCCTTAAAAATTAGAATGGATAAAATGAAAGCTAGTGACTTTATGCGAAATCAAGACATTGTAAAACAAAACCAAAAGAATGAAAAAATAGAAGACAATGTGAAATATTTCATTAGAAAAACAACTGACCTGGAAAATTGATACAGGAGAGATAATTTTAAAATTATTAGACTATTTGAAAGCCATGATCAAAAAAAGAGCCTAGGCATCATCTTTCAAGAAATTATCAAGGAAAAAAGCTTAAGATATTGCACAACCAAGAGTACAAAAAAAAAAAAAAAAACAGGTTCCCTGGTGTAGGAAGATTTCCTCTCCACCTCTCACCACTGTAGGTCCAGTCAACATAGGGAGCGAATTGTTGCAATTCTGATGGGAAAGCTAGAAGTGTCAGCCAATTGCCAGACTATAGGCGTATGTTGTATCAAGGGCCTGAGAGTTGGGATACAGCAATACAAAAAAGGCAGCAGTGGTTATAGGGAGAGTATGTATGTTCCACTAATGCTTTCCCATGAAAGTTGCGGTGGAATAAAAGGGTCTGTATGGGAGTATGTGGAGGCTGAAGATGTGCCCTCTGCAACACAAGAGTGAGCCTGAGGATGTTCTGATGAGCAGGAATGAGAGACTGAGAAGGTGTTAAAGGGCTTATGGATTGGGAAAAAGATGGAGGAATATGAGCAGCAACCCAGTTGAACTCTCCTAACATTCCCCTCCAAACTTAAAATAACTCCTCAAATCAAACTTTGGAGCCACAACAGAAGGTCATAGTGGGGTATTTTTCCAGCCTAAGACAACATAGGAAGTCAGCAAGAGGGGTCTGTGACACGGGGTAGGCGCCGGCCCAGAATGCAGCAGGAGCACCAGGGGTAGGCCTCGGAGGAGGCCTTGACAGCACTAGCCTCAGGAGCTCTCAGCCCAGAGATACTAAGGGCGTCAGACAACTGGTCAGAAAGAGAGAGATTACAGGGGACCTTTGGCTGGTGCTGATTGGCACCTCTATCGCCCATAGACAATTCCGGGTTGCAGGTCCAGAAAGGAGAGGAACGTGGTCGCACTTCCAGGACCAGAAAGAGGCCTAGCGCTTGTGGCCGCAGGGGAGCAGAGGCCCTTTCTGGGTAAAGACCGGAGTGCAGACCAGGAGAGCGGTGACCACACCTCTCCCCGCATCACAACACCTTAGAAGGCCCCCAAATTTACAGACCTCCAGAACCAGCTCTGAAAACAGCAGCACGAAAAAGCCCGAAGCTTCCCAATTCCAAACGACTCATGATTTAAAAAAATGCCATCCACCTCCAGAGATACAACTGAGGAACTCTGCGTACAAATTAAAGTATAATTTCTTTCTTTTTTTGCTTTTTTTGGTGATATATCTGATATGGAAATATGTTGTGCACAATTTCACACATATCATTAATTGATATTTTGCTTGCCTTGTCAGGTCCTATGACTACCCTTTTACAGATCTGTCATTATTGCCCCCATTTATATAATTATTACTCCCATTTTACAGATTTGCACCTACCTCCCAGGGCTGTTTTAAAGATAAAACGAGATATTTGTAAAATGCTTTGTAAACCTTAAAATGTTATGTAGCTAAATGATTGGCTGTTATACAACTGAATTTATATATCTGGATCATCAGCATAGTTCTTGAGTTTTGATTTCTACTCTTCTTTCCAGATAATAAGATAATCCCTCACACTGTGTCTTTTGGTCAGTCAGTCAATTATTATTAAGCACACACTATGTGCCTGGCACTGTGCCGAGCACGGTAGCTAAAAAGGACAAAAGACAGAGCCTGCTTTCCAGAAGTTCACAGTCTACCAGGGAAGACAACATGCAAACAACTATGAATAAGCAAGCTACATGTAGGATAATTTTGAAATAACTAATAGAGGGAAGGCATTTGAATTAAGAGAAAATTGGAATGACCTCCTGTAGAAGGCAGGATTTTAGCTGGGACATCAAGAAAGCCAGTGACGTCAAGAGGCAGAGAAGAGGAATTGAGAGTGTTCCAGGCATGGGGACACCAATGAAAAAACATGGAATGGGGAGATGGAAAGTAAGTGGGCCAGTGTCACTGGATCACAGAATATGTGCAGAGGAGTAAGAAGACTAGAAAGCTGGGTTAGGAGGGAGGGGGTTAGTTCACGAACAGCTTTGAGGACTAGAGGATTTTATATTTGATCCTTGAGGTGATAAGAAGCCACTAGAGTTTATTAAGTAGAAGGGCAGCATGGTCAGACCTAAGCGTTAGGAAGATCGCGTAGAGTAGCAGCTCGGTGGTGCAGTGGGTAGAGCTCCGGCCTTGGAGTCAGGAGGACCTGAGTTCAAATCCAATCTCAGACCAGACACTTGACACTTCCTAGCTGTGTGCCTCTGGCAAGTCACTTAAACTCAATTGCCTCACCCAAAAGCAAAAAAACCAAAAAAAGACAAAAATCACTTAGATAGCTGAATATAGGATGAACTAGAGTGAGGAGAGGCTAGTGGAGGCATCTATTATAGACAGTCTTCCTCAGAGAGTTTAGCCACAAATGAGAGGAAACAAATGGGATGGCAGCTAGCAGAGATAGATAGATCAAATGAGTTCTTTTTTGAGGATGGGTGAGAGATTATACAAGGAAGTTAGGGGGCAACCTTACACAGCAATTCCATCAATAGGCATAAAGATGTTTCGTGAGAGATAGGTTTGGGGGAGGAGAGAATGATGATCCCCTTTTTTGGAAACGTTGAGATTGAAGTACAAGCAGGACATCAAAGTAAAAGCACGTAGCAAGTCGTTTGAAATGCAAGATGGAAATCGGGATGAAACACGCAGATTTGGCAGCCCTCTGCATATAGGTGACCAAAAAAGCTATTGAACGGATGTGATTTCCAAGGAAGAGAACATAAAAAGGAAAAAGAATTAGGCCAAAGACAACCCATTGTTTCAATGAACTGCTCAGAGAAAAGGTTCCAGTATGTTTTTTGTACAAGTCACACACACACACACACACGCACATACATACCACACACACGCATACATATGTATATATATGTATATATGTGAATTGAAGCAAATGGGAAATAGAGAATCTTTAAGATCCAACTAAATATTTGTCCTTAGAACATATTAGAACATGAAAACATTCATCAGTAAAGAAGTGGGATATTACAGAATGTTGTGTGCATTCTTTTTTTCCTTTTTACAAGGGACAGTTCAGTGTCAGTCGGGGGAAAAAGTGTCAACAGATCATTTTAAAAATCCTAATTATTAGGTCCAGTTTTTCATTATTACCTTTTATTTTATTCATATTTTTGAAATCAGCTTGAACCTGGAATCAGTGAAATAATTCAATTCAATTCAAGAAATACTTATTCTAGGGGCAGCTAGGTGGTACAGTGGATAAAGTGGATAAGGCACTGGCCCTGGAGTCAGGAGGGCCAGAGTTCAAATCCAGGCTCAGACACTTACTAGCTGTGTGACCCTGGGCAAGTCACTTAACCCCGATAAAACAAACAAACATTTATTCTACTACTTATGATATGAACAACTACAAGTTAATATTATTAACTAGGGATTTCATGATGAGGAAAAAAGGGACCATATGTCTCTCCTTGACCTTGTGTGACAACCACAAAACAGTTAAGGAGGGGTGGGAAATCTACTCCCTCCAAATTCATAAATTGGCATGTGGTGCACTCTCTGCATTGTCTGCCCTCCATGATCAGGAATAACTTTCTCTTCATTACAAGATATTGGATTTAAACATTAGGTTTTTCTCTTACCAAAGTTTTCTACCCCTCATTTTTGTCTACTGCCTTAAAAAAAACTTTCTCAGGGTACTTTCCAAAATGTTATTTCATCACATTCTCACAGAAACTTTGTAAAATGGAGGGAGCAAGTATGATTCTATCCATTTTGCAGATGAGAAAACTGAGTCACAGAAAGGGTAAATGATTTCTTCACAACCACAAAGTTGCTTATTGGCATAACAAACATGTCTCCCAAGTTATCTGTATGTCCCTGAATATAGGATGCCCCCAAGCTCACCAATCATCTTGATTCTCCCAATTTTGTCCATGAGCAGAGCTGATACAATGTTGCCAGGTAATACAGACAGACTGCCAAGGAAGCTAACAAGGTAAATTAGGAAGTCATTGTCTTCTTCAAAGTCCAAGTGGCACCCCTCTTTCTGCTCCATAAAGGTGGTGTTGATGAACTGGCAACCAATGAATTTATGGTGATAGAGATCTGTAAGGGAAAGAAGCCAAGGTTAAAACAGTTTACTCATGAAATGGAAGCTCACTGGGGGCATCTCATCTTCAGCTCTGTCCCCAGTTCCTAGCACTGTTTCTTGAATTTATAACAGGCACTTAATAAATGTCTATTGAATTTCATTATTGAATTCGAAGAAGGAAGAGGACGGGGTAAGGAGAGGGTGAATCATAAACATACGCTGTCTCCATGGGTGGTGAAGGATGTGTGTCAGCATTGGCAAAGAAAGTTCAGGTGGGGAGAGAGGGGAGGGAGGAAGCCTTTTAAAAATGTAATTAACTGTTCAAAATTCTAAGTAAGAAAGAGATCATCAGGCTTAAAAATAAAAAGTAAATTATTTGTGGAATTAATAATAATTAAAACTATATAATTCAAGTATAGTCAATTTATGAGTTATTCATTGAAGCTTAAAATATTTGTGAGATATCCTTGATTTTTTTTTTAATTTGACCTTACAAAGGACAACCATAGAGACAGGGATTGGACCTGTGATTTTATTGATATAGAGAACTGCCAGGTAAGGAAACTCCCTCTATCCCTTCATTTATCAAAGGGCATTGACACATTATTTCAAATGAGACAATGTTTGTAAAAAGCATTTAGCACAGACTCTGGCACACAGTAGGAGACATATAAATGCTTACTTCCTTCCCCTCCCTTCATTCTCTCTGTGGTACTCTAAGATACGCCCACTAAACATTCTTATTCCCATTTCACAGATGACAAAAACTGAAACGTGGAAAAGTTTGAGCAACTTGCTCAATGTCATGAAAATAATTAGAGGGTAAAGCTGGGACTAAAACCCATGCAAGTCTTCTGAATGCCACTTTTTCCACTAGATGATGATGTCATCTTCATCCTATCCTGCTCCAGATGGTTTTCCTAGGAACAGGCAATGACATGGTGATTTATAAACCTAAAAGCACCATGTGTATGTGTGCTATTATTAGGGAGAAGGAAGGGAGCTGGTCCTGTGATTTCACTGGGATGAGGAACTCCCAGATGAGAACACCCCTCTATCGAGGCAGTACAGCATTTTCTCTGTAGCTTTTAGTCTAGGAAATTGGCCTAGAGCATTGAAAAGTTTAGAGACTTGCTCTAGGGTCACACTGCCAGAAAGTTTCAGAAGCAAGATTTGAACCCAGGTTTTCCTGGGTCCAAGGTCAGCTCTCTGTCCTCTACTCCATACTGCCTCTCAGTGTTATTATTACTGTTGTTGTTACCAATGAGAGCTATTCTGAGCTAAGCATCTCTGCCTGTTTCCTGCTTGATATTGCTGTTACCTGTGTTATAGAAGACAGTGGATTCAATAGTGCAGTTTTTGAAGAAAGTCCCAGGAGACACCACATCTTCAAAATAGCATTCATCAAAGAAGGAAGACTCAAAGATTACATTCTTGAATTTCATCTTGTAGAACCTGTAGAAAAGGTATTATCCCACAGTGACATCAGTTACGATGATTTACACAGTGAAAATGGAGCCTTGAGATGCTAATGGGAAGAAGAAGAAGACCACAGCTTAGGCAGGTGCTGAGGACTCTGCAGGATAAAAGACACTTTGACACCATATTCAATTCAAATCAATCCCAAAAGCATTAGCACCTGCCAAGTATAGAGGACACTGTGGTAGGTTCTGGAGGACACATAAAGCCCATATAAGATAATGTTTGCCCTTTGATTTCGTGGATACTGGAACTTCCCCCACCTTTGAATATCATAGCAGCCTAGAGCAGGGTTGTCCAAGGCCTTCCACCTCAACCAAATTCAAATGGAATTGGCAAATATTTAACAAAATAAATAAAATGCAACATAGATCATGTTAATTTATGGTTTTCTAAGTCGGCCTGCAGGGATCTGTCTCTATTTGAAAACACTGGGAGAGAGGCGTCAGATCACTGATGTTATGTGACTTGCCCAGAGTCATGCAGCAAATAAGTATCAGAGGTCAGAGTTCAACCCAGGCTTTCCTGCTTCCAACTCCCTCTATCCACTCTACCAGGCTGTCTCTGGCAACATGTATGCAGTTATCTATAATACAAACAGGACATAAATGTATAAGAGAAGTTCAGAGTGATATAATACAAGGTTCACATACTTTATCTATCTAGGTTCGGCATGATATAATGTAAGGTTCCATACTTTATCCATCTATTCTTCCCAGTTTGCTGTTTGTTTATTCATCATTTAGAAAGAATTGTGCCCTGCCTCACTACTCAAAGAGTTTGAATCAGTATTACTTAGCACTGCAATAAAGGTTCACCTGAGAACCTCATCATCACCAGGAGGTGACCCATGATGCTTGAAGGTTATAACAGGACAAGCACTGGCAGATGTGATGGCCCAGGTGGGTTGATTACTCAAGTCTCAGTCTAGGTCCACTTCTTATCCCTCTCACAAAGTCACTGTCAAGCCTGAGACAACTCCTCAGATAAATAAGGAATACCTCTGCTATGAGATGCCAGGTCTCAGATCCACATGAATTTGCAAGCCTAATGTGTTTTACTCTGGAAGCCTATTGCTTCGACATCCCTCTTTAACAAAGAAATAAAGCATTCATGGGGCATTTAGTGATCTCCTACTGTTCTGCCAAGGGCAAATGATATAGAAGAGCCATAAATCACAGAGGAAAATAGTAAGTACACAGGCCTTGAAATATTCCTCTCAGGGAGTTATAAAAAGCTTCAGATATATGGGAGAAACGAAAAGAGATAGGCCTGTGGGACACATTCCAGAACTTTAAGATTCAAGTTAATTTCTGTAATGTGTTTGTAAACTTTATAAATAAGTACAGCTCCCCTCATGCCCAATTCATAATTTCTCTATTGAGCTAATCTTTATTCAGAAGAGCATTGGAGTTGAAAGAAAAATCAGCACAGAGGAATAGTATGTTGGAAATTTTCTATTAAAAAAAATGCCGCTGTGATGTACAAACAGTTGGTATTCTTGAGCCCCCATCAAGAGCTGTGCTATTCGGGCCATTCTTTGAGCCAAGAGCACCTAACCCTTACTAATGGATCTGGTTTGGGTCCAAGCACAACCATCCATACCTGTCTTACCTCTGTGTGGCCTGAAAATAAAGGTCTGGAATTCTACCTTTAGCCCTGGCCTAAATTACCCAAGTAACTATAATAGTAGGAAGGAGGTTGTAAATATCTATATAACATCTGAGAACTACAGTTCTGTACCTCAGATCAGCTCCACCCATAGAGTCAAGAGGACAAAAATAAAAGGTGACCTCTCTCCAAGTATCTGGAAATGATCTCAAAGTCAGAGATGCCTGGAATGGTAGCAAGTTTGCCTTGCCTCCATTGTTGATGAGTTAGTGATATCAAGAAGCTTTCAGAGACCCTTGTCAGCAGCAGGTCACCAAAAGATGGAGGTGCCAGATGAGGAGTTTTGTCTGCTCCCAAGTCCATGTGTTTATGCTGTAAGGAAGAGCCTCAGCCTCATTTTTCTCATCTGTAAAATGAGAGGGTTGGACCTCAATGGCCTCTAAAGCCCCTTCCAGTTCTAAATCTATAATCCCACAATACTTCCTAGAGAACTAGGAAAGTCTGTAGTTGGAGTAAGTCAAAGCCAGGGGACTTATTAAAGCACTCAAAACATAATTCCAAGCCCTTTGATGAATGTGGGGAAAATCCACTAATCTCCTTCCTCTTATACTTTGAGAAGCCTTAGGGGCCAACATGTACATAATTTAAACTTTCACTCCAAAAAAGGCAGTTAAGGAAAACATGAGACGAGTTTGGTTAGGCCTCCAAATTACTAATAGCAATAATATTTACGTAGTTCTGTAAGTTTTACAAAGCGCTTTAGAAATCTTATCTCATTTTATCCTCACAACAACCCTGGGAGGCAGGTACTGTTATTATTATCATCCCTATTTTACAGATGAGGAAGGTGAGGCAGATAGAAGTTAAGTGACTTACCCAAGGTCACAGGGCTAGTGTATGGGGTATACTTGAACTCTAATTTTCCTAATTTCAGGTCCAGCCCTCTATGCACTGTACAACCTCACTACAAACTGCAGAGGTTCAGTGGCAACTAGGAATTATAGTCAAATTCTTCTTCTAAAGTGACAGAATCGGCCCTGCTTGATTTAGCGCAAGGATCACAGTGATGTGTGAATTGGAGATTCTTCATATAGAGCTTTTCTGAAATAACTAATTGTGAATGCTTTGACTCTTTCTAGATACTACAAATACTGACTGATCTAGAATGACGGTTTTACTGTCACTTTTCTAAGCATTATGAGTTTTTCTCATGGAAAACCCAATAATACTACTCCAGTAGTTTCTCATTCAATTAGTGCTATAGATTGTGTAGGTAATAGGGCTGGGAGCATTGAGCTGAAATATCTGGTTACTTGGTGCCCATGTTTTCTGTCTGAATTTTGTTAAATTGAATTCACTCATTGATTCACCCTCCAGCTGAGAGTTGCCCTCCCAAAAAAAAATCCCTCCATCATATTTATTTTGTATATATGCTGTATATATTTCTATGTGTAGATGTTGTTTTCTCCAATAGAATGTAAGCTTTTTGAGAACAGGGACTGTTTTATTTTTGTCTTTGACAGAAGATACACTTTGTATTTTGTCTTTGTCTTTGTATAAATGTTTGTTGACTAACTGAGCTGTAAATTTTAGTTTATAGAGGGAAAGGGGTGGTCCAGAATTATTATTTTATCCAAGAAAGGAACTTACGGTATAGACACTCCTTCCACCAATGTAGATTGACAGCTTGTCTGCAGTACATGATCAATATGCAAATTAATTAACATTTATTAATTGCCTCCCATGTGCCAGACATTGTACTAAGCTAGTACATGTCAGGGGCAGGAATTAAACTGAGATGGGACAGAAATAATAATGTAGACCTTGTTTGGAGGACTGTTAATTAAATTGTCCGTTCATTTTTTTTCCAACCCACCTTCATCATTCAACAAATATTTGCTGAACTTAAGTGTTTGACCTTGTGCTAAGTGATCTGTAGGATACAAAGATGAATAAAAACTCACCTCAACTTTCAAGAACTTATAATTTAGCATAGCTCAAAGAAAGCAGTGAGTAATAAATGCCTGAAGCATGGTTCAAAGTGCTATGGAGGCTCAAACGAGAGTGGGACCACTTCTGGACTGAGAGGGAACAGGAAACCCTTCACAAAAGAGCTGAAATGTCAGCTGTGTTTTGAAGGTCCGTAAGATTTTAAGACAGTGACAGGAGTGGATAAATAGTCCCTCTTTTCTTTATAGTATGGACTTAGCCAAGTAATGTCTGTTAGTATTTAAATATTATCCTAATCTATCCTGATATTACCCTTTCTATCCTTTCCCCTGAAGTAATTCCTAACCCAGTGGACTAGATTTTCAGGGCCCAGGAGAAGAAGAAACCTCTTCCTGATAAAGTGTTGTTTGGTTTCCATGAAGAAACTTGAGAGGGTCATTTCTGACACTTAGATTAAGGTTTAAATTTCAATTTCCACCTTTGTTCCCATCCTACTTTTCAAATCTTGGGAAATTACCGTAACATATGTCTCTCCTTCTTGGTTCCTTCATCCTTGGAATTGAGAGGATTAGATTTTAAAGGGAGTTTCCTAAACTGAGACATTCTGGCAATGGAATTTTCCTTTAAAAAGAGAAGGTTTTTTTTAATATGCTAATTATTCAAGTATATTTAATCTATATCCAAGCCAATGTGGTCATATTTAATAAGACTAGAAGTGCTAAAAGATTTTGTAAGGAAGCAGAGAAACATTTGAGTTTTACCAGATTGGAGGGATCTAAAACAAGGTCTTTCCTATCGAAGACCACCAGATGTCAGTGTGACCTAAGGAAAAAGAGCTCTTCGTCTATTACGGTCTAATTAACTGATTTGTTACTCCTACCTATTCATCCATCATACTCCTGGGAGGGCCTGCTAGAAAAACTCCTAAAGCAAGAAAGCCCTGAATAGGAAAAGTCAAAAAGACTGGAAATGAGTGAGTCAGCTAACAGAATCCATTTTTCACATAAAGCTTAGTTTTCAAATCTACCACTTTATATGTTGTGGTGAGATCACAAAGGGATTTCATCATTACTTCAAAGGGTGAGTCTAAAATCAAGTTTAATATTTTATAGCCCAAACCACCCAGGAACAAAGTGACCTATGATAGAAAGATGTATAGCACACTAAATCCTTGAAATAATATTGTCCTTGGGTTCAGTGCCATCAGACCATATTAAGGGGGAAACCACCCAAATAAGGTTTCTTGCTTTGCAATTAATAGTACCATTGAAAGAGGTCCGATTCATTCTAATGAATTTCTGCTCCAAAACAAATAGTAGCATAATAAGGATCCACTTAAATTGCACACGTGTTCATGGTGCCTGCGGACTTTTCCTTTTTGGAGGATCATAGAACATTAGAATTAGAAAGGACCTTAGAGATTATCAAGTCCAACTTGTCCTTTGACAATTGAGGAAACTAAGGCCCCAAAAGGTTAAGTGACTTACTGAAAATCACACAACTAGTAGCGGCAAAGGTAGATTTAGAACATGAGTCTACCATACCAAAATCCATGATGCACAGACAGTGTTGGAACATTTCTACTACAATGATGCCCCATTTATCCAGTATTTTCAGGGAATGATGTTTTACACATAGGGGAATTTTCCAATTGACTGAAACCATGTTCAGTGCAAATCTTTCTAAAAGATATCTTCATAGTGTTCTCTTAAACACAGAATAGAATGAACACAAATTAATTTCTTTGTTGAATTTCCTTCCTTCAGTATCATCATGTGAATATAAATTACTACACTGTCCCATAATACAGTCCTATAACACTGTCTTATAACATCCTTGAGTGTTATTGAAATATGTTGGGATACTTTACTATATAACTGCTGGTTTTTTTAGTACTCATATCTGCTTCACATAGTTTTCCTATCTCAATTTCTGTCAGGCTGTTAGCTGTCTTGCTGTGTGCCTGTCTGCAGAATCAAACACAACATATCCCCATTTGCCAATTCCATTTTTTCTTCTTATAATCAGCTAAGAGCTAATAAGCCAAATATTGTCCATTAAAGTTGCATGTAAGAATAGTAACAGCCACATTGTATGATGACTAACTTTGATAGACATCTCTTCTTGGCAATGCAAGGATCTAAGAACTCCAAACGACTTATGATGGAAAATGCTATCCACATACAGAAAAAGAACTACAGAGTCTGAATGCAGATTGAAGCATATTATTTGCTCTCTCTCTCTCTCTCTCTCTCTCTCTCTCTCTCTCTCTCTCTTTGTTTCTTCTTTCCCATGGCTCCTCCCTTTGGTTCTAATCCTTCTTTACAATATGACCAATGTGAAAATAGGTTTCATATGAATATATATAGAGAGCCTATATCAAATTGCATGCCATCTTGGGGTGGGGGAAGGGGAGGGATGAGGAGAAAATTTGGAACTTAAAATCTTATGGAAGTGAATGCTGAAAACTAAAAATAAATTTAAAAATTTTTTTAAAAATAAAAAATAAAATAAAATTGATGTAAGAGTAAAAATGTTCTAACTGAAAGCTTCTCCTTTAAGACAAATGAATATGTATGGACTTTTCAGACATTTACTTAAAATCCAGTAGAGTGCCTAGTACATATCCGGTGCCCAACAAATGCTTGTTATATTACTATTTTAATTGTTTGAGGAGATCTTCTACTTGCTTTCAGGTTCTCAGCTAGGTTATAGGTAGTTGAGGTTGCTGAGTAATTGACCAGTAGATAAGTGAAGTGTTTCTATACCACCATTAAAGAAATCTCACCACTACCCCCATATCATCACCATATCCAATTGTTTATATCTTTTTTTATTTTGAAATAAAATTAATATATCAAGAATTGGGTAAACTTTTAAAGTTTCATATCTCTCAAAAGAAATTCAGTGCACTGAAATGAAGCCTCCTTCCAAGAACTGTCTTCCATTCAACTCTAAATAAACACTTCTACCATATTTTCCAGCATGGATGGCTGGAGTTTGCCAAAATTCCAAAGAAAGCAACACCATTTGGTCAGATAAATAGGGATGCATTTAAAATGACCTGAACCTGAAAAATAAATTATAATCAATAAAATAACTGCCTTATGTCTTTATTCAATCTGAACTGAAAAGTTTATGGATTCCTCTTAGATTAATCTAGTAGAGAAAATAATAACATGCTCTCTCAGAGAGCCTCAATTAAATTGAACCATTTATCTAACTGAATATATCTCCAATATAAATTGGGAAACAGCAAGATATAATGAGTAGAGAGTGGGTATCAGGGCAGGAAGACCTTAGTTCAAATCCTGCCTATGGTGGTTACATAAGCCTGAGAAAACAACTTAACTCCTCAGGGTCCCCAGACAATTCTATAAAACTGCACATAGCAGGTGCCAATCTGCTTCAGTGGAAGGAATGTTATCACTGTGAGTTCCCTATGCCACTGAAATCCAGGTCCAGTTTTTTAAATAGATTTATATATATGTATATGTATATAATATATAACCAGCAGTTCTGTCATGGATTCAGAATTATATACTTATCATGGATACATAGGTGAGTAACAGAGGCTACTTATGTACATGCCTATAAACCTAGGAGATCCGAGGACCAGGATTCTCATATTCTAAGAATTCAACTGGAAAAATGTCAGAGCAAAATTACTATTTCCACTACAAGCAAAGGTATAGAAACCCCAATGAATAAAGGTATAAAGCAATGTATCAGAGTAAATATGCAGTCTCTAATATATTAATGTATTACATAGTGCCCCCCTCCGCCCCACTCAGTTTGCCATCCTACTCTCTCTAGAATGAGTTGTTTTCTACTCTCCCACTCTGACATAAGGGAAGCCCAAGCTCTTTCACTTACTTATCATTGAAGAACTTCCCATGTTCATGCACCTGGTTCTCCAACGTAAAATTGAATGTGACATGTTCCAGATGCTCATGTGTAAAGATCTTCTCCTTAGCCCTGTAAGCTTCATCTTGAATATGGCGAATCATGTCTGGGAACCAAACTATTAGGCCATAGTAACTGCAGCAAAAAAAAAAAAGGCAGGAAGATCAGAGTATCAAGATCCACTGTGCTTTTTGATTAATTCTCTCTCTCTCTCTCTCTCTCTCTCTCTCTCTCTCTCTCTCTCTCTGCCTCCCTCCCCTGCCCTCTCCCTTTTCTCTCTCTCTCTGTCCCCTTTCTGTATGTGTATGTATGTATATATGTATGTATATATTATATATACACATATACAGAAAGAGATAGATGGACATATATATACACTTTGGTTTTTGTTTGTTTCATGGTATTTATATTTACTGAGTTTTCCAGGTAACTTTGGCAATATTTAAATTTATCCTTTCAGATTAATACATGGGGAGCCCTCTAAGTGGTTTAATCTGTAGCCTGCCTTGGTTTACCTACAGAGCCTATTGAACAAGGTTTGTCTCCTCAAGGGAAATAGGAGATTGTGACTCTGTTTAAGTTCAACTTTTATGACATTGAAGGAAATATGGGATTATGATTTTTTAACTGTCATGACCACAATACACTAGTGCCCTGTTATAAGTTTAAGTTCTCTAGCTTATAGCCACTAAAGCTTACTCAAATTGATTTGGCACAAGCAGCAAAGATTAGGATGATACAAGTGAGGAAAGAGGAATGATATATCAGATTCTGCTGTGAAATTTGCCTCTGTGTGTTTTGTGACAATGAGTGAAAAATGTTTCCATTCTTCCTCCAATCATTTTGGACCAGCAGTACTAATACCAAGGTCACATTTCTGTCTATACATGGGACAAAGACTTAATGAGAGGACCCAGAAAATGCCGCTTTTCTCCCTCCTGCTTATGCCATCATGCAGATAGTTGCCAGCACATTGAACAAAACAAATCTTCCTGGAGTTTTTACAAAAGCAAATCCATGGAAGATGACAGCCTGACTAGAAGAAAGCAGAGACACTCTGAACTCATGCTGCTTAATTGAAATAAACAAGTTTAGAGAGCCATTTATTTGTAGCACGCAGTCTAAAGTACGAGTATGTTATAGATTCATATATGATGCTGTTAATAAAATATTAATACATTGGCTAGGGTGAGGACAAACTTACTTACCTCAGAGCTATTGTAAACCAAACCACAGCCAGAATCAGTGTATTCATTCTGTAGGGACCCATCACACAATATAAGGCATTGTCCCAGACCTACAAACCCATATCAAAGAGTGGTTACTAATGAAAGGATCTCACTGACTTTAAAGGGCTGATTTCTGACTTCTTCCTACCAAAGAGTACAGGGATCTTTTGAAAATTATAGGCAGTGCCCTAGAGGTAAAGTAATTCATTTTGTATCCTCAGGTGGTATACATTTCCTGTCCATGAACATCCCTGGTGCATAGCAGCCCTGTATCTTCAGTCCAGTGAAAATAAAGAGAGTCCAAAAACACAATGTAAATCACACAGAGCCAAACTTTCAAAGGACGAATAAACAAGGCACCCAGTGACCTCAAGTAGTCAGGTTGCAGCTTCCTGCACATGGGTGTCAGTTTCAGCCAAGAACAGCTTTTACGTTCAGAAGGATCTCTTCTAGATTTCACTTACATGCTTTCTTTCTTACAGACACTTGTGGGGGCTAGGGTTGCATCTAAGCCTCATAATTCTATTAGCTGATATATATGGAGATGAAAACTTAAAGATCATCAAGGCCAACCTCCTCATTTTACAGATGAAGAAAGTGAGACACACTTAAATAATTTGCCCAGGGTTATATAATTAGTTATTATCTGCCAAGTCTCCTAACATACACCAACATACTCAGGCACTGCCTCACATGGCCCAGAATAAGAAAAGGGCCTTCTGGATATGAGCCAGTACCTTTATTCATTCTCCTTCCTGAGGCTGTAAATCCCTTCGAAGCCATATTCCCATCAGAGAATCAATCATTCATATTCATACCTGTTTAAAAGTAGTAGTGAATCTGACCAGCCAGCGTTGGTACCAGGTCCCCGTTGAGCTTTGTATTTCAATGAACTCATCCATTTGCTTGGGGGTTTTGATGTGGGAAACCTGAAAGGAGAAAAAAAATCTGAGCTGAAGAGTACAAACGCAAAGTGCCATTTTCCCCAATTTTTGGTCCTTGGCCATTAAAAAAAAAACTTTGGCTTTGAAATTATCTCTAGATGTCTTGTAAGAAAAGATCAGTTCAATGAAACTATACATCATTTCCTAGCTGATGGATCACTTTATATTTCTCTATGAACAATTTTCATCCTAACTATAGCAGATCAATGGAAAAGTAAGATCAAAGAGTTCAAGCTGATAACAATGTTAGAATTATTTAGCTCAACCCATTCATGAGGCAAATGAGGAAAATGAGGCCTTGAGAAGTTAAATGGCTTCTCAATAGATCTGCAGGTAAGAAATTTCAAAGACAGGTGATGGGGTCCTCTTATTCTGAATCCATTATTCTTTTCACTAAACCTGGCTGCTCTACTGGCAGAATAAAAAAGTTTAGATTGTTCTCCGTTTTACAACCTATAGAAATGAATGAATAGTCATAGTTACATCTATCAGAGCCGTGGTAATCACATTTGTTCTTATAACAGTACTGTGAAATAGGCATTATTCATCCCCTTTTGCAAAAGAAAAAACTGAGAACCAAGACCACATAGCTGAACAGTGGCAAAGCTAGGATTAGAATCCAGATCTCCTGATGCCCAGTTCAATACTATTTCTTCTATGCCATACTGCATCATGTGCATAGAGTAAAGATGTCCTTCTTGATGAGGTTGGAAGCATCCACAATGCAGATATGTCCTTTACAATCTACCCAGTGCGCAGAGTTAGTAGCATGTCCTTGCTTATGCAACATAGAGGGGTATTATATAACCATTACAGAGCAAGAAGGAAAGACTTTGATAAACACAAGACAAGGAATATGGATCTGTGTCAAAGGATAAGGTCCTCTTCCTATCATATAAGGTGATAGAAGGCTAGAGTGCCAACTACTTCAGATCATCATAAGAAGATTAATAATATTAGCAAATAATATTAACGTAAGAAGATTAATAACATTAACAAATAATTGCTACTTTGCATTTTGCATGGGATCTGAGTACCATATAACTTGCTCTAAGGAACTCATTCAGGTTCAGCAAAACTCAGACAGGCAGAAGTATCTAGCAATTCTAGTTTCCAGGGCAAATACAACTCACCAAGAAGCAGATGGTGAAGGTCCCCCTGCTGGATGCAAAAGGGAGGGTGGAATTATCCCATTTGGTAGCTTTCTACTTCTAATTAATCACTCTTATTAACCATACACTGAGTTCAATTGTTCTCCCTTCTAAAAGAGTATAAGTTTAGTCAGCATGTTATACATTTTAGCAACACCCCCTCCTGAACATCTCTCTACGTACATACACACACACACACACACACACACACACATCTACTGTAAGTTGTTAGAAGGAATTCTTTGATTTGAGCCTTTGTGGATTGATTGAAATCATGTCTCAGTAATCCCACAAGGATACTTTTCACCAACAATTATTGCTTTACCTCTAATATATAAAGAATAGCATCCAAATTTATATCCTACTTTTCTTTCTTCCCTTATCTTTAGGAAGAATTATCAACCCATCCCAGAGAGATCTAGTCACTGGTATGTTGACAGAATAAAGTACAATTACTCTAAATTACCATTAATTGGAGTATACCACTCAGATTCATACTCTAAATTACAAGGTCACCTATTTCAACCTATGTCTTGATTTGCTGAGGAATAACAAGACACCCCACTTTCACTTGGAAATTGGTTGAACAATGGAGACTAGATAGATAGGGTTTAGGAAATTCATTCAGCAGTAGGCAGAATACCTGGCACCATCCAGTAAAAACTAGGAAAGGACAAAAGAATGTTAAGTCTGAATTCTGGAAAAGTTTAGGTTGACTAGAGCCATGGTTAAGAATTCCAGCACTCAGTATAAATTTAGAAGCACACATAGGGTGAAAAAGAAGTCTTCCCATGCAGACTGGGAGAGAAAGCAACTATGGCAGTCCTCATGGCACAGCTAACAATATACAATCCAATCTCCCTTTTTAAAGTGGCAAGAAAATGCTGGGAGATAGGGTCTAAGAGAGGTGCATGACCCTCAGGGATGGTACCACCAAGCATAGGGCCTACAGGGGACCATGATGCACGAGCTAGTGAGATAGAAGAACATGGAAAGGAAGCACTCCCTCAGATACTGGCACTCTGGGACAAAGTTTCAATCACCTCATCCTAGTCACAACTCTGATAGATGCTGGAATTTTGACCTTCCCTGTAATTCTTTTTTAATAAATTATGTAAATTCACTTAAAGGGAGTTCACAGCAGAAAACAGGTTATATGATTACATTCAGAAAACTAGTATTTTCTTATATGAAGTGACGTATAATAGAGTCAAAAGAATAACAAACACAATTGCTACAATGTGCGTGTGTGTGTGTGTGTGTAGATACATCTGAAGGCAGAAGTTGTGCTCAAGGACTTTCTCATTCGACCCTTGTCAAGGCTTTTAATCTCCCTCAACCTCAGTCTCCTCATCTATAAAATGCGAATAATAATCAATAGCACTTACTTCCCATGGTTGCTGTGAGGTTAAAATGAGATATATTTCTAAAGCACTTTGCAAACCCTAAAGGCTATATAAACACTAGCAATTATTATTTGTATACATGATAGTTTAAAGTCAACTTGCTAAAAGATTTCAGTCTTCCACTCACTGCTTTTTCTGCCTCCCATCTGCCTAAACCCTCTTAGGATATGTGCCCAGCACTAAAATAAATAATGCTAGAGGGGCAGAGCCAAAATGACGGATTAGAGGCAGCAACCCAGACAAACTATACCAAAATTCTCCTCCAACTTTAAAATAACTCCTCAGACCAAATTTTGGAGTGGCAGAGTCAACAAAATGTCAGGGTGAGACATTTTTCCAGCCTAAGACAACTTCAGAGGTCAACAGGAAAGGTCATATAGAAGCTGGCCTGGAGCTCATGCAGTGAAAGGCAGCACCAGCTTCGGGAGCTCTGAGCCCAGAGACAGTAAGGGAGTCAGACAACTGGTCATAAAGAGATTACAGGGGGCCCTTTGCTGGCCTTGGGTACAGCCAGTGCCAATTGGCACCTCTATTGTCCATAAGCAGTTCTGGGTCCAAGTTCCAGGGTGGAGAGGAATGCATGTGATATGTCACAAGGGAGCAGGGGCCTGGTCACAGTTCCAAAGCAGAGAGGAGCACTAGCACTTGAGGCTGCAAGAGAGCAGGGGTCCCGGTTATAATTTCAGAGCTAAGAGAAACACTGATACTTGTGACTACAAGGAAGCAGAGACCCTCCCTGGGTAAACACCGGAGTACAGACCAGGAGAGTGGTGACCACACCTCTCCCTGGATCACATCACCTTGGAAACACCTAAAACTTGCAGACCCCCAGAAATGGCACTAAAAACAGCAGCATGAAAAAGCCTGAAGCTTGGAACAGTGCCTCCCTACCCCCTAGGGGAGCAGAGCTCAACTAACATGAAGTTCAATATCAAGAAACGGGCTGAAAAAAAATCTGGGGAAAAAAAAAGAATTTGACCATAAAAATCTACTAATCTCAGGGAAGACCAAGAAGACAATGATGTGAAAACAGCTATACCCAAACCCACAAAGAAAAATTTTAATTGAACACAAGCCTAATGAGAATTCCTGGAAAAGTTAAAGAAAGAGATAAGGGTAATGGAGAAAAAAGAAATGAGAGTGATGCAAGAAAATCATGAAAAGAGAATTAACAACTTGATAAAAAGAGGCGCAAAAATACTGAAGAAAATAATACTTTAAAAAAATTAAATTGGCCTGTTAAAAGACACATAAAAATTAACTGAAGAAAAAAAAACTTTTTAAAAAGCAAAATAGGACAAATGGAAAAGGAGGTACAAAAATTTACTGAAGAAAATATTTTTGGGATATAGAAATCTATCCTGCCCTACAAGAAAATAGAAGGGGAAGGGGATAAGAGAAGGAGGGGAGAGATAGAAGGGAGGGCAGACTAGGGGAAGGGGTATTCAGAATGCATGCCATCTTGGGGTGGGGGGAGGGGTGAGATGGGGTGAAAATTTGGAACTCAAAATCTTGTGGAAATAAATGTTGAAAACTAAAAATGAATAAATTTATTAGTAGAAAAATAAAATAAAATAAAATAGAAAGAGTGAGCAGGAATTAAAGTCAAAAGATAGGCATTTGTACCCTCAGTTTACCACTTGCTACTTAATGATCTTGGAGAAGTCACCTCTCCTCCACCTCAGGCCTTATTTTCCTCATCTATAAAATGGGAAAGAAGTTGGACTTAGTATTGGGCCCTCAAAGTTTCTATTTGATCTGTTGATGTTTCTATACTGTTCAAGGCAGCGTGCTATGTAGTGCAGAAAGGACTTAACTTGGCAAAAGTCCACTTCCATATTTGACTAATTATCAAGTTTAAGGCAATTGACTTCATCATCTTCCATTAGACTGTGAGTTGCTTGAGAGCAGGGACTATCCACTGCCTTTCTTTGTACCTTCAGGTCTTAGCATTGTGTGTGGCACCTATAAAACCATAATAAATGCAACTTGTCTAACTAAAAAAGAAAGAAAGAAAGAAAGAAAGAAAGAAAGAAAGAAAGAAAGAAAGAAAGAAAGAAAATGTTTTCTTAAAAAGCAGAATTGTCCAGATGGAGAAAGAGATACAAAAGTTCACTGAAGAAAATAATTCCTTAAAAATTAAAATCAGGCAACTGGAAGCTAATGACTCCATGAGACGTCAAGAAACAATAAAACAAAGTCAAAAAATGAAAAAAATAGAAGAAAATGTGAAATATTTCATTGGAAGAACAACTGACCTGAAAAATAGATCAAGGAGAGATAATTTAAGAATTAGTGTACTACCTAAAAGCAATGATCAAAAAAAAAAAACCTAGATGCCATCTTTCAAAAAATTGTCAAGGAAAACTACCCCAATATCTTAGATCAGAGGGTAAAATAGAAATTGAAAGAACCCACCTATTATCTCCTGAAAGAGATCCCAAAAATGAAGACCCCCAGGAATATTATAGCCAAATTCCAGAGTCCCCAGGTGAAGGAGAAAAGATTACAAGGAGCCAGAAAGAAACAATTAAAATATTGTGTGGCTACAGTTGCTATAACACAAGATTTAGCAGCTTCCATGTTAAAAGATCAGAGGGCTTAAAATATGATATTGCAGAAGGCAAAGGATCTAGGATTACAACCAAGAATCACCTACCTAGCAAAACTGAGAATAATCCTTTAGGAGGGAAATGGATATTTAATGAAATGGAGGATTTCAAAATTCCTAATGAAAAGACCAAAGCTGAATAAAAAGTTTGACATTCAAACATAAGTCTCAAAAGAAGTATAAAAAGGTAAACACGGGGCAACTAGGTGGCACAGTGGATAGAGCACCAGCTCTGGAGTCAGCAGGACCTGAGTTCAAATGGGACCTCAGGCACATAATACTCACTAGCTGTATGACTCTGGGCAAGTCACTTAACCCCAACTGCCTCATCAAAAAAAAAAAAAAAAGTAAACATGAAGAAGAAATCACAAGAGACTCAATAAAGTTAAACTGTTTGCATTCCTATATGGGAAGATGAAACATGTAATTCCTAAGAACTTTATCATTATTAGGGCAGTCTACATAGACAGAGGGCAGAGATATGAGTTGATTATGTTCGGATTACCTCCAAAAAAATGAAGAGGTGAGAAAAGGATGAATAGGGAGAAGGGGGGGTAGAATGGGGGAAATTACCTCACATAAAAGAGGTGTGTAAGACAGAGCTTTTACAGTAAAGGGGAAAATAAGGACATGGCAGGCAACATTTGAACCTCACTCTCATCAAAATTGGTTTAAAGAGGGAAGAAGATATGCATATGCACATATATACATATATATACACACATATACTTGGTTGGGTATAGAAATATATCTTACCCAACAAGAAAACAGCAAGGGAAGGAGATAAGAGAAAGAGGGGAGATGATAAAAGTGAGGGCAGATTAAGAGAGTCAGTGGTCAGAAGCAAAACAAACTTTTGAGGAGGAATAGAATAAAGAGAGAGAGAAAGAAAGATAAGCAGAAAAATATGTGATGAAGAAAAATACACAGTAATCATAACTGTGAATGTGAATAGGTTGAGTTTACCCATCAAATGGAAGCAGATAGCAGAATGATTAGAAACAAGAATCCAATAATATGTTGTTTAACAAGAGACACACTTGAAACAGAAAAGCACACGGAGTTAAAATAAGGTACTGGAACAGAATCTGTTATACTTTGGCTGAAGTAAAAAAAAAAGGGCAGGGGTAGCAATCATGATCTCAAAGCAAAAACAAAAACAGACCTAATTAAAAGAAATTGGGAAACTACATTTTAATAAAAAGGTACCACAGACAATTAAGTAATATCAAAAAAAATTATGGCAAGTTTCTCTCATAAAAGGCCTCTTTTTTCAAACATATAGGGAACTGAGTCAAATAAAAATAAGAGTCACTCCCCAATTGGTCAATTGTCAAGGGATATGAACAGGTAGTTTTCAGAAGAAGAAATCAAAGCTATCTATAGGTATATGAAAAAATGTTCTAAATTATTATTGATTAGAGAAATGCAAATTTAAAAAACTCCAAGGTACCAGAAATGGAACCTATCAGAAATGGCAAATGCTGGAAGGAATAAGGGAAAATAAGTACACTAATTAATAGTTGGTGGAGTTGTGAATTGGTCCAACCATTCTAGAGAACAATTTGGAACTATGGCCAAAGGGCTATAAATCTGTGAACATCCTTTGACCCAGCAAAACCACTACTAGGTCTGTACCCCAAAGAGATGAAAGAAAAAAGAAGAGAACCCAAACGTACAAAAATCTTTATAGAGGCTCTTTTTGTGGTGGTAAAGATAATTGATGGAATACTATTGTGCTATAAGAAACAACCAGGGGAATGGTTTCAGAAAAACATGTAAAGACCTACATGAACTATGCAAAGTGAAGTGGCAGAAGCAAGACATCACTGTACACAGTAACAGCAATACCGTGATGATGATGAACTGTGAAAGACTTAGCTACTCTGATGAATACAAAAATCCAAGACAATCTCAAAGCACTCATAATGAAAAATGTTATGTACCTTCAGGGAAAAAGTTGATCAACTCTGGATGCAAACTGAAGTATCGTTTTCTTACTTTCTTTATTTTTCTTGCTTTTTTGCAATATGGGTAATATGAAAATATATTTTGTATGATTTCACATGTATAATTGATAACATATTGCACGTTTTCTTAGAAGGTGAGGTAAAGTGGGGAGGGAGCAATAAAATTCAGAACATGTTTTAATGTTAAAAATGAATAATTAGTAAGAAAAAGAAAAAAGTAAATGATGCTAGGCCTCACCTAAAGAGCATCACATTTGCCATTAGAATACTGAAGCATCAAAGTTAATCCCACAGGAAGGATATCATCTTTTAAAATATGAGTACTCCTAACACTGCAAAGGTTGTCAAGCGACAACAATTAACCTAGAACTCTTTAGAAACAGGATAAGTCCACTTGGGTTGATTTAAGAATAACTTTTCCTAAAAACTTAGTTGATAGTCACTAAACTGTTCAGCAAATAACTGTTGCATGTTCAGCACTGTATATTAGAATGTGACATAAATAAATGGAAGACACCACACCCTTCTTCAACTAGCTCACATTCTAAGTGAGAAAACTCAAATATATATACACCAAAAAAAATTTCAGAGCAATTTCATAAAGTATCAGAAAGTGGAAAAAATTTATGATCTAGATTGGAAGTATAAGTCCCAAAGGAGCAGAGGATGTTAAAATGGTCAGTGTGATCAGATATCACCTCCTAAAGGAGGTGAGTTTTGAAGTAGAAGTTGATGGAAGTGATGGAAACTGATCGGTGAGGGGGAAAAGTAGAAGGCATTGTTTGGGTGGATTGCTTGTTGGCAAAGTCCATTATTTCAATGCATAGAATACCTGTTTCAAAAATGTCATAGCTGGCTTTCTGAAGGCAGTTGCATACTTACTGTGAATACTTTCTCAGGTGCCCCCTTGGCTCGCATATTGGTGTCATGCACATGCTTGAGAATCATCCAGGCTTCATCATGTTTACCCATCTGGAAAAATCAAGGGAAGGATTATTCCTAATCAATTACTGTCACAATCTCCATTCATCTTGCCCTCATTTAACTATCTTGGGAGGATGTCTCTCATTGTGCTTCCTGATCATTAGAAAGGAAAAACCCTTCTAAGCTATGATGATGTTTGCTATATTCTAGGCTTTATTTCCTTTTCATCAGTCATTGGGACTCACTCATGTCTTAATGAAGTTTCCCTTTTAATCTCTTCTGTAAAATGGGAATGATGTTTTCATATGAAGAATCCGGCACCCAAGTACTAATCTCTTCAATGCATGGTGATCAAACATGGTTCACAAAGCTTATATCAGAGGAATGAGAACTCTCATTTCCTACCAAGCAGGAAAAGCTTTGAGTGTAAGTCCAATGACAGATGTATACCTGTCACTAGCCTAGATAAATATCAAGAGATTTATTATCAGAAGGTTGACCACCAGGTGATGAGGTTTTATTCTTTTGGTTTTTTTTTTCACCATAGCAACTCATAAAGATTGTCTAGATATAGAAAGACTGCATATAACAGTGCCTTGCATTAAAAGATATTTGTTAGATTGTTATGACCTGTATCAGTGGAAGGAATACTGAAAACAATTAAATAATCCATGTTTTTAGTAATGAAATTAGCTCTGAAGTACAAATGTTAAACACCATTATCACCATTCACTATGAATTAATTTCTTTTAATAATAATAATTTTTAATATATATTATAAGTATATATAAATAATATTTAATTCCTTCTGTGACAGTCTTTTGCCCTAGGTCTTCTGATCGTGTGTTATTCTTTTTTCTTTCCCCCTTTACCTATCGTCTTTGTTCTCTCAAATCACTAGTATCAGATCCAAGTCAGACATCACAGCTTAAGCATCCAGGGAGATTTTCGCCACAAGGGCCATGTGAAACCATCAAGAGTCTCCTATGTCTATAGTAATCATTGTCCTGAGTCCATTGCATGGACTTCCTCTTACATGCTAGCATTGACCCTATACTCTGGATTTCTTTCCTTAGGTCCCTCTTGGAACATTACCCTCCTCTCATTGGAAAGCCTAGTTCTCAGAATTGTTAATTCCCCTCTTTTGTGCCTTACACAAAGCAGCAAAGCAGCAAAGAGCTGATTACTCTAGTGTCTTTTTCACCCACAATATGACAAGCGCCAGAAACAGGACAGATGGTTTATCTTCTCAACACTGCTTTAGGTTGCTCTTTGGTGCCTTCTGCTGTCTTTGATTTAAAAATAAAAAACTCATTTACTCCTTGGTTTCTTCCTGGTCTCTAATAAACTGCATAGCGCAAGAGGCTCCCTTAAGTTATAACAGCAAGAATAGTAGGTTAGGTGAAGCTAATTTATAATTCACATTCTCTATGTGAAGGAAGTCCCAAAAATAAGTCCCAAAAGTCCCAAAATTTTAGATTCTTTGTGGCATTCAAGAAGTAAACTGCTGGAAGAGAAAAAAATTTGAAAATGCAGACATTAAAAAATAGAAATTAGCCCAAACTTAAGGATGTAGGTGTTTTACCAGAGTCTAGGAAGGAAAGGAAAGAAAAGATATCGGATTCTGAAAGTGTGAAAACACAGCCAAGTCTAATCCTTTGGTTGGTTGCTTATTGAATTCACCATGAAATATTATTTTGGAACATGCTAACTTACCTCCAATAGAAAACGTGGACTCTCTGGCATGAACTTCAAGGCAACCATGGAGGCCATGCATGGGAGAGCACAGACAATCACAAACACCCTCCAGCTGTGGAAATGATAATTGGTTCCCATGCTAAAGCCCCAACCTGTAATGAAACACCAGGACACATTTCTCTCTGTATTAGCTCCCCTGCTAAAGAAGTTATGCTTATAAGGTAATTAAATTATTATATTAGCAAATACAGTGGCACCTAGAAATACAAATATGTAATATCCTCATCCCAGCAATCCCCTGGAGAAGCTATGAATTTATTCCTACAATGCTCTGATTTCTTAAAATATTTGAGGGAACAACTTTTTAAGAATCTCCATAAGAGCCTCTGTAAAATACTTTTGGTGTAGTAGATGGGTAATGCCATGTCTGTCCTCTGAAGATGTACTTGATTTTTTTAATAACAAACAAAAGTCATCCAAAGTCACTTCTAGTGGAAAGTGTGATCTATTGGATGAAGCTAGGTAAATGTTATTTTTTTTTTATCAAAAATGAGGTATAATCGTGAATTAGTAAGTCTGTTTTTCTTGTCTGGCTTATTCACCAGCACAGAAGGCAGCTATAGAAAACATGTTTCAAAGGTATTTTGAATAGCATAAGACATTGGAAAGAGTACTGGGCTAGGAAGCAAACACATGGGCTCTAGTCCAATCTCTTTCTCTGACTTGCCAAGTGACTTTGAGAAGCTCATGCTACACTTTGCACCTCAGTTTCCTCCCACATCAAATGAGTAGGATGAACTAGATGATGCTACAGATCTTGTCTGACCCTAAGATTCTATATATTGAGATGGAAGCATTCTGTGAATAAGTATAAGGCAGCTAAGTGGTACAGCGAATTGAGTATAGGGCTTGGAGTCAGGAAGACCCAAGTTCAAATCCTGCCTGAGACACTAGCAGCCCACTACCTTGGGCAAGTCACATAACCTCTCTCAGCCTCATTTTCTTCATCTGTAAAATGTGAATAATAATAGCACCTACCTCACAGGGTTATGATGAGCAAATGAGTTAACATATGTAAAGCACTTTGCAAACCTTAAAGCCATATGTAAATGTCATTATCTAGTCTTGGGAGATGACTCCTTTGAAAGGGATAATATTCATTTGGATAAGTTCTGATTTTTACATTAAAAGAAAATTCCCATTGCTTTTGGGTTTATAACTTCATTTGCTTAGTCTTGCTTGCATTATAAGGAAGCAGAGGGATATAGTACATAGCACACTGAACCTGGAGGCAGGAAAACCTGGGCTCGAACACTTACCACTGATATTTGCTAATAGTATGAGTCCATGGGCAAATCATTTAACCTTTATGAATTTTAGTTTTTTACATCTATAAAATGAGAGTAAATTAATGCCTGCAGCACTTACCCCCATAGGATTCTTGTAAGGCTTAATCAAGATATATATATAAACTGCTTTGCATTCCCCCAAAACATTATAGAGGGTGTCCCAAAAGTCTTAGTCCAGTTTTATGCTTTAATGTAGCTTAAAACTATAAACTTTAACTGCACTAAGGCCTTCAGGACAGCCTATATAATGAATCAGTTATTATTGTAGCCCTCTATAAAGAGTCAGTTATTACTATAACCATAATTCATTTTATCAAAGTTCCTCTAAGGACAACGATCATATCTTTTATACTCAGTGCCTGACACAGCATCCTGTACAGAATGGCCACAACAAATACATTCTTTGTCCACTGCCGGTACTGCTGCTCAGTTGGCTATACCATTTGATGGAAGAGGTCAGAGGATCTTCCACTTGGGGGAAAAAAAACCACTAGATAGCAGCTACTTAAAATACAGCTGGCCACCTCAACAGAAAAGAAGGCTCTATTCAATTCATTCTTTCAGAACCAAACTTCCCTTCTCCTCTGGTTTGGTCTCCTCAGTTTCTTGATTTCTGTAGGGCATTTCATTTTCATTTAAAAGCCTTTCCTTTCTCCCAGCAGGGGCGGTAGAACAATAGGCAATGACCAAAACTGTGCTTATACTTCCTCAACCAATGCCCTAAGATTATTCTGGCAAAGTCAGAAGTGAAGTTGTTCAAAATTCCTACAGGCCTCCAACTCTGCGACGTGGCCAGAGAAACGCAGGCAGCCTCTCCAGCTCCAAAACTTAGAAAAACTGCCCGATGGAGATTTCTTCCTGTTGTCGCTATTGTTTCTAACAAACACACGTGTTTTATCCTAGCTTCATTACTCTCTCATCCCTCTAGGTTACTTCCCTTTCAATAATCTGAGTTCATCTCATTCACTGGCCAGACCTTTGAGGCATTAAAATAACTCTAATGGTGGGCTGCTTCCCAACATTTGGAGTAATCTGCATTTCTGGATGGGGAGTTTTTCAAAAGGCAATACTGTTCAATTTCATGTTCTTTGAGCCTGCCCTACTTTTCTCCATCAGGATTTCACAAACAGCTGGTGTTTCTGGCTGAAACAGGAATTAATCTCTCATAATAGATACTCAGATTTTCCAGAGCTTTGAGTATGAATCATAGAACTGCAGAATATTAGAAAAGGAAGGGCCCTGGGATATCCGCTAGTCCAACTGCCTCATTTTTGTCAATCAACCTAATCGACTGATCAATATGTATATATTTTGTGGTAGGCGCTGAGAATACAAATATAAAAGACAATTCCTTCCCTTAAGGAGCTTGCTTAGTATCCAACTGATATTTCCAGAATTCTATCCCACATTTCAGACCAGCATTTCCAACTTCTTACCTTCTAGACATACCATCAGAATCTCAACTGTACCATGTCCCACACTGGGTTTATTATCTTCCTCAAAAAACCCAGTCCTATTTCTGATTCTACTCTTCCTGCCAATAACGCTATCATTCACCTAGTATCTAGTGTTCAAAACCTTGATGTTACTTTTGATTCTTTTCTCTCCCTTATTTCTTATGCCTAGTCAGTTGCCAAGTGCTATTGATTTTACATTTACAAAGTTTCTTGTATGTATCTACTCCCCTCTATTCCCACTTCCACTCTTGTACTTTTCCACTGGGGGTGGCCACAAATCTAAGCCCTGTTTCATGTCTCAAGTCATCACTTCTAAATTTCACTAAAATGATTGCTTATATGTTTTTATCTCATCATAATCACTGTGGTCCATCTTTAAACCACCATTGCCAGTAGAATGCTTTTCAACAAACTCTCCTACCCAGAAATGTAATTACTGACATATAACACTAAAATAGTATGTGATCTATGAATCAGGAAGGTTATTTTGGCTGCTACATGAAAGGTAGATTGGAGAGACAAGAAATTGGAAGCACAAAAACCAATTAGGAGACTCTGCCTTAGGTGGTCTTTCCCTGTACCTATATACTTCTGTGAACTGATTTATGCTAATGCAGGAGAGATATGCCTACCATGGCTCCATGTGTTTCTTGACACAACTATAAAATGAGAATAAAAATACCTTTTCTACAGGTACAGTAACTGGACTATATGATCTCTTTAGCCCCTTTCCAACTCTATGAGCTATGAAGTGTGCCTATCATTTCTTTCTATTGCTTCTTTAAAATATTAATAATCAGGGGCAGCTAGGCGGTGCAGTGGATAGTGTACCGGCCCTGAGGTCAGGAGGACCTGAGTTCAAATCCAGCCTCAGACCAAACACTTGACACTTAACTAGCTGTGTGACCCTTAAATCTACTAAGCAGACAAAGAAAAAAATGGCATGAAGATCACAGTATCTTGCCTAACCCCAATTGCTTAAATAAAAATAATAATAATAAAATATTAATAATAACCTATAGGAGGGAAGGAAAACTTGCATAATTTCTAAGTAGATTTTTATTTTGGAATATCACATTGTTTTGTTTCAGGAGGATCACAAGGGTTTTAGAATACAAGAGAACCATCCAAAAACCATGTCTAAGGGAATGTTCTGAGCACAGGAGAAAGGAGGAAAGAGTATTTGGATGTAGGTATCAATGCTATTGAAAACACATTCATGAGATGAATACTTTGAGCTTAGAGCACTTACCGTAGTGTGGAATAATAGTCCAGGCCATTGCTGAAGCATAAATTCCTCCAATCATCCAGAACATGCAGAGCCAACTTAGGTGTTCTCCCCTCTTCTCACGAGATAAGAATTCAGAAAAATAGGCAAATACGATGGGGAGAGACCCCCCAATCCTGAGGGGGAGAAAATACCAAAGAGGAAGAATCAAGGTGTGTATAGAAAAGAGAAGCCCTCTTACATATCCAGATAGTGTGCCATGTTGAGAGATGACAGAACTTGCAGAATAAAATGGGGAACTAAATTTCATTAAAAAGTTGGCTGGTCATCCTGGTTAAACTACAACAAAGCTAAGGAGCTAAGGTGAATTGTCTAGTTAGTAAGTCTAGAACATAGGACGAATAAAAATAAAACAACTAGAAGCATTTTGATAAACTTAGGGGGCAATTTCAAGGAAGAAGCTCAGAAGTCTTATTTCATTACATTCATTATATTCAGAGCAAGGACTTGTCTCTATAATGGTTGGAATCCTTCTGATTGAGACAAACCAATGTGGAATTGAAGCACTCACTTTACTCCTATATCTTAGGTATAATACTATGATCTTCACGCCATTTTTTTTCCTTTGCTTAGTAGATTTAAGAACTATATAAAGAATAACATACTGGATTGTTTACTACTTTAATTTAAGCTGTTTCCAGCTATCTTTCTTTTTTTATTTCCAAATATTTTCATGGTATTTTTTGTATAATTAGCACTACCAACTAAGCTACCTTCAGAGAAACCCTCCCTTATAACAAATATGTCCAGCAAAATAAATCAATACAATGGCCATGTATAAGAATACCTATCTCATTCAGCATCTCAAATCCATTCCTTCTCTATCAAGAGGGGGAGGTATATTTGTTTCATCTTCAGTTTTGTTTTTTTGTTTTGTTTTGTGGGGTTTTTTTTGCAATTGGGGTTAAGTGACTTGCCCAGGGTCACACAGCTAGTAAGTGGCAAGTGTTTGGTCTGAGGCTGGATTTGAACTCAGGTCCTCCTGACTTCAGGGCCAGTGCTCTATCCACTGCACCATCTAGCTGCCCCAAATCTTCAGTTTTTTGAAGTCGCTGTTTACTGCTTTGATCAGACTTCAGCTTTCTTTCACATGTCAAAAATGCCCAGTTCCCTAGCTCATAACTCTGTTAGAATATAAGGTCCAGGAGAACAGGGAAGGTCTAATATCAATCTTGGAATCAACAGTATCTAGCATAGCAACTTGTCTAATAAATGTGAATTTAATTGAAAGCGTCCAGTTTGTGTTCACATTGTGAACATTTTATTTCTAAGCTTTATTCTAAACTATGAGGCATTATTCCAAATATACGACCATCCCATTTCTCTTCCCTGCTAGAAATCCTGGAATACATTTTGACAAGGAATTTCTTACTTCGTTAACCTAATTCTTAGAGAAGAGATAAAGGGCTGCAGTGTCATAAGAGGCTATTATCACTGTAACCCAACTCTCCCAATACCCAATATCAACAGAGACAGAACACTCATCCGGATAGATCACAGTACATAGCCCCTCCCACAAGTACCTGGGGAAGCTTGCAGGAGAAGGCTACAAAAAGACCATAGATCTGGAGCCAGAAGAGACTCTTATTTTACAAAGGAGGAAACTGAGGACCTGTGAGATTAAGAAACTTGCCCAAGGTCACACAAGTGGATCAGAAGTAGAATTTGAACCCAGTTATCTGACTCCAGAGCCAATGTTCTTTCTGCATTGACCACTGTTTTGACTCAGAGTGATGTGTCTTATGTTCCTAATGTACATACCCTATACCAGAGATAAGGCGGCAGAAGAGGAAGAAGCCATAGCCCTGCACGAAAGAGGAGAGGGAGGCAAAGGAGGCATTGATTGCTAGAGACATGCCAAGGACTTTCTTCCTCCCAAGCTTATCTGCCAGGCCACCCCAGATGAAGGCCCCGGCCATCATTCCCAGGTAGACTATCAGCCCTGTGAAATAGAGAGAGAAAAGAAGGTAATAGAAGGAGCAACACAGAGAAAGAGAGAAATATTAGGAATATTCAGAGCATTCTGCATACAAAATAGAACATATTTTGGAATGGTGGACAGTCATCGTATTTCCCCTCCTGGAAATCACAGCATCATTAACATATATGATCTAAGGAAAGAAAATACTTTGTAAACTAACAAGTTTGTTCTATGAAAGTAAGGCCTCAGTAGAATTATGTAAACAGTAAATATGCAAGGATAAATTACTACACATAACACTATGTATAGTAAGCATTTATGAATATCTTGTGACTAGTAGACATGCCCTAAATGTTTGCAATTTGGAATATCTTTGTTTGTTTGCTTTTTAATGGTTCCTTTTCTGGTCAAAAAAAAAAAACCCTAGAGGACTTCCATCTTGTGACTCTATTTTTAAATGTTCCTCTCAAAGGAACATATTGCCATTTTGTTGAAATGGGTATGGAGAGTTTCTTTAAGTCAACAAAGTATTTCAAAGTGATGGGTAGGACAGCAAAGCATCAATGTCATTCTCCAGCTGATAAGTCATAAAAAGATACGAACAGTTTCAAAAGAATTGAGAACTATCAACTATGTTAAAGAATACTCTAAATTATTCATGATAAGAGAAATACAAAATAAAATCACTCTGAGGATTCTCCTCAAAATTGGAAAGATGATAAAAGATGAAATGGTCAACGTAGGACTATGAATTTGTTCAACCATTCTATATAACAAGTTAGCACTGTGTAAGAAAAATCAATAAACTATTTATATCTTTTGATCCAGCCATTCTGCTGCAGACCTTATATCCAGGTGAGGTGAAAGGCCCAATATATGCTAAAAGTTTCATAATAGCATTTTTATGGTGGCAAAAGAAAACTAGAAACAAAGTAGAAACCCACCAATTAGAAAATGGGTGAACAAATTGTGGCATAGAAGTGTAATGGAGTACTACTGCATCATAAAAACAACAAATATGATGGGAACTGATGCAGAATAAAGTAAGTAGAATCAGACCAACAATCCACACAATGAATATGAAAATATAAATGAAACTAATAGTAAAAGACAATTGAACTTTGGTTCATTGTGATGACAACCTTCTTCCTGGATAAGTGACTGTGAAAACCTTCTTTCTCTCTGTGGACAGAATATAGAATATGTAGTCAGAGTCTATGTCTGTTGGTTTTGCTAAAATGTTTTTATTTCTTAGGTTTCTGGAAGGCAGGAGAGGCAAAAAAAAAGAACATATAAAAAGAGCATGTATAAAGCTATATCCAATGACTGAATCTTTTAGATGACATGGAAAAGAAGCAACAAGTCTAAACACATAAACAATTACTTGTCTTATAATCAAGTTGGTTTCTTAAAAAACACCTTGTAAAGTTATTTTCTAGACACTTGTAGTAATGCAATTATATTGCGCTGAGATAGCTGCCAGAGCTTCCTATAGTCATAGGTGACCTTTATACAACTTACCAAATAAATAGTAAAATATTACCACAATCAATACTTCCATCTAATAATAACTGATACTTTTATAAAAGTAGTTTAAGGTTTAAAAAACTCCCCATTTTTTGAGGGGAAGAGCCTGAGGCTCAGAGAGGTCAAATAACTTGCCTGCGTTCGTATAACTAGTAAGTATAAATTCAGTTCAGTTCATCAAGCATTAAGTACGTACTACATGCCAGGTACTACTCGTAGATGCTGGGCAAAATGGAAAACAGCCCTTATATTCACAGACCTTATATGCTATTAGAAGGAAAAAAACAGATGCACAGCTGGGTATAATTAGGCTTTTGTGTTTTGTTTGCTGCTGTGTATGGTATGGGGAAGGAGATATGACTCCAGACTGGCAGAGAGGATGCTGAGCTTGAGACTGAGTACCAACATCAGGGGAGGAACTGGTGTCAGTGCTTTTTTTTTTTTTAGAAGCGAGACATGTATGGTACCAAGTACTCTTCAGGAGAGACACAAGGAAAGATTTTGAAAGCTATAGACATGTAGGGGAAGCCACCTCCTCAATATGTCCCTGATTTCTAGTTTGTCTCCCTACAGATGAGAGAAGAAGAAGAGGAGGAGGAGGAGGAGAGGGACAGGGAGAGAGAGACAGAGACAGAGAGACAGAGAGAGAGTGAAAGACAGAGAGAGAGTGAGAGACAGAGAGAGAGAAAGAGAGAAAGAGAGAGAGAGAGAGAGAGAGAGAGAGAGAGAGAGAGGGAGGATCTTTCCTTTGGGTGAGATTGGCTCCTCCCTTTTGGTTTAAGTTAAGATTTCATGTCATTCCCATCTAAAGAGCTTACTTACTCTGGTATATTTTCTGGTATGTTCTGAACTATATAACTCCTCCAATTTCAGTTTGCTTAGATTAATTTATTTGCTTATATGCGATTTGTGATAGTCTTTTTTTATAGGAAAGAATCAAGCTGGCAGGTTAAGCTTGGGGCTACCTTCATCCTTTAAGCAGGACCAGGAAAGCAACTTTTGTTCTGAATCTATTATACCATTATACTAGCGATATCTGTTAATCAGATAGATATTAATCTAGTCTAATACCTTTCTTAGATATAGGAAAGGAAAGGACCAATCATCCAACCATGCCTTTCTCTTGACCTCTTGAAGGCAGAAATCAAAGCCTTGCTTGAAGAGGGTTGGGGTAAATTCCAAATCCATGCCACCTGTTAGCTTCAAGTCTATACATTTAGACAACCCATTTAGACATATCTAACATAGGATTTACATATTCTACATAAGTAAATGTGAAAGTACAAAAAAGATAATAAAAAGTAATTTGAGGGATATGCTGGGGCTTGGGAGGGGGGACTAATAATGGGAAGAATCATAAGAAGTCTCCTGTAGGAGATTGTACTTGAGCTAAGTCTAGAGATTCTAAGAGGTGGGGATTAGGAAGAAGAGGATTCCAGCCATGGAGAACAGCCTTGCAAAGTCACAAAAACAGGAGATAGAATGATGTGGTATGTATCGAGGTGGGAGGCTCTCCTGACTTCAGGTCCATTTCTTTTTTCCATACACCATCCAGGTAAGTAGATATCATGATTCATGGCTGTAAACAAGTCTGGCACAGCCTAAGTCTATACTCCTGAATCCCAAGAAGATGTCAGAAGGGCGTCTAGTTGGAGTACAATTCAGAGCTGTAGTAGGCACCTGGATTCCTTGAGTTATTCCAAATTCATGTCCCCCCATCCTAGAACTAATATCATAATAACCCCTATCAATAATCCTAGTGTCCTCCTAAGTATTGTGTTTATGTTACACCCACTATCCTCCTCAGGATCATCTTTGAGGGGAAAAAATATGGTAACTCATTCACCTGTCTTTGTATACATATCCCATTCTTTCACTGTTTCCCTGGAGGTGGATGGACAGAAGTGTTATTTTCCAGATCTAGGTAATGCTCATTTTTACTCGGTTTGTGTGACTCTTGAAAGGGCTAGGAGTTAAATTCACAAAATAATAGTGTACATTTAATAATTTTATCCTCTATCCAATGTGGATAGTGATGATTTTTAATCCTTTGGGAAGTAGAAGCTGGCATTTCTGTTATTTCCTGGATTTAGTTACACTTTAGTCTGCTAATTAGGTGAAATTTAAACCACTGCAGCTCCTTGCCCGTTTGTCTTTTATTTTGTTTTGGTTTATTTGTAGCTCCACATCTCCCTTTCAGTTTGGAAGAGCTCTAAAAAAAACAAGCTGCCTGATTTTTCTCTTCCCAGCTCTGTAGGATGTGACAAGGTAACCCAAAGATATGCCTTCCAGATCCGTTCCAGTTTCTCCCCTCAGACCAGGGAAACAGTGAAATGCTGAACCTGAGTCGTACTTCAAATATTCCTGCACACATCCATGAAATGCACATAAAAAACAACATTCTGTAAGGCTACTGTCTCACCACCAGGGTAATATCTGCAATCTGTACCCAGGGGACACACAGAGAATACACTTGACCTGACCTAAGCTGAGCTGAACAAACTGAATTAAACTGCTCTGAGGATATGATCATGTCCTTCTCCTAGTGGAAACCTTTAGATAAAAAGACTAAGGCCAAGGTTTCCCATTTCATTACACCATGGAGTTCTAGGTAAAAAATACTAGTCTCTCCATGATTCAAAGAAGATTTATCATGATGTAGGCTAAAAGGAAATGGAGTAGAAATCAACGCATGCTATGATGAAAACATAATAACAATAATAGTAATTAGCATTTATATAGAATTTTAAGGTTTATGAAGCACTTGATCCTTCCAACAGCCCTGTGATGATGGTGCTATTATTAGCCCCATTTTACTGATGAGGAAAACTGAGGCTGAGAAAAGTTAAGTCACTTTTCTAGGATCATTGGTCTAGCTAATGAATATCTGAAATAGGATTTGAACTCAGGTCTTCCTGATTCCAAGTCTAACATTTTATTTGCTACGCCTCTTTCAAAAAGTTCTTCTTGCTTTCAAATAGATCATAGATTTAGCACTGGAAGAGACCTTTCAGGTAATTGACTCCATTTTGTCATGAGGAAACAGGCCTAGAGAAGTCATTTGCCCAAGGTCCCAAAGGCAGTAGTGGAAGAGTCAAGATCCAAACCCAGCACCACTGGGTTTGACGCCAAATCCAGCACCACCTTCCACTGTTTCCTGCTGTAACTCTATCCATGTTCAGATGGTTAACATGCGTGGCACAATCGGCAGTTAACCTTAGTGTCACAAAGTCTTAGGTTCAAATCTTGCTTCTAATTCTAGTTTTATGTCCATGAGTGAGTCATTTAATCTCTCTGAGGCTTCCTTGTCAATAAAATAGGGGATAATAATTCACAGAGCAAATCCCCTTAATAAAAGGATTTGTTCTGTAAGACTTGGACTCAGTCAAAGGGCCACTCTTGAGGACCTACAGGGTTGCATGTGGCCTCGAGGCTGCAGGTTCCCCACCCTTGATCTAGGTCAAACCATTTCCTTCGTATTATTTTAGAACAGA